GGATTTGAACCAAACTAATTTCATACCTATGATGGATGTGGCTGATAATGCTGGGCATACTGAAGATGATGATGAGGATGGTTATGACGATGCTGATGATGAACTTTTTGTAGATAGTGAAAATATATCACCGGCTGCAATACATGATTACGTTGATCAGTATCCTGCGATGGCTCAAAAATATCTGACTGAATACTGGACAAATGATGAAAATATCGATACGGTTTATGGTCCCAAATATGATCCAGTAACATCGAAATGGTCCCTCAACGGAAAAGAAATGAATTTCCATCGAAGAACTGGAGATATACTTCTTGATGGCTTTCGGTTCCGTGGCACCCCAGGCCTCTATCAATTACTCTTCTATAATGATCCATCCTTTGCCAAAGATGATACGAACCCATACAAGCAAATACTCTTGCTCAATAAAGCTCATCTGAATTCTGCAGGACGTATGAAGTCCTCCTCTAGACTCAAATACGTAGAAATTATTCGTCCAATGTTCAGATCCAATTCCAGTGGTCGTGGTTTGAAGTTGACATACAACACAGCACCTATCGAATACATGTATTGGGATGATCCAAACGAATTGGTAGATAGATTGAAGTTGCTCATTGCATCACAGCAAGCCGGAAATACATCAAACGATAACGAGATTGTTGCCATCTTGAACGAATTAGAAGAGGCAGGCATAATAAAACATGTGTGACGATTCGGTGACATTTCTGTGTTCCGTGATACTTCCGTGACACTTCCTTGACACTTCCGTGACAGTTCCGTGACACTTCCTTGACACTTCCGTGACAGTTCCGTGACACTTCCTTGACACTTCCGTGACAGTTCCGTGACACGTCCATGGCATGTCTATGAGTGAAGGGGCTAATAATTGGCGAGGCAAAGTGCCGACCATTATCGATAACGTACAATACTTTAGTCATTAGCATAATGAGTCTCGACAAATTCGGACGTGGTTCGTTTCCACGCTCAGCTCAGATGGTGACAGTCAGATCTGGATTTTCACATACTCCAACCGGTGATATTGATGTTGGTCATTTGAAGATGTGTAACGTAAAACTGCCAACAGATGCCGCTGATGTTGCAAACAAACAATATGTGGATGAAGTTATATCGCAAATAAAGTAAGATTTCAAGATCGCTTTCGATAATTACGGTGAAAAAATCCGAAATTACCTTGCTGGCTTCAGCAGCGAAATAATCGAAGAAAGGAAGAGAGTGGATGTACATGATCTGAAACTGGAAACGTTCAATACAAACTTTGTTCAGTTGTCTGGCATAGTGCACAAGATCAACATACATGTGGAGCAGCTTCGCAACAACTCTCTACCAAAACTCGAAAGCGACATCGACTTGAATGTGAAAAATATTCTAGAACTTGTCGATAAGATTGACAACACTGTGAAGAGTTTGCACGATTTGAAGGCTGAGCAACAACACAGCCGTGATAAAGAACGCCAGCTTGCTGATGTCATTGATCAAATGAAAAAAGATCTGGCCAAGATTGCCATCACTCCAAAATCTACGACAACACCACCGCCACCAAAAAGGAAGCCTCCTGTGTGAAACCCATCATATAAACTCCTAATCCAACGAAGTCAATATGTCACATTCTAAAGAAAAAAATCCAACTCGTCAATGAATTACATAGACCTGCTAGGAAAAAATTTCCAAGGCCCGCATTATCATCAAAGGTTTGGATGACTTATGGCAAATGGATCTAGCCGAAATGCGACCTTATTACTCTGTAAATAAGGATCACAAGCTGATAATGGTCGTGATTGATTGTTTTTCCAAGTACCTATGGACTAGACCACTAAAATCAAAAACTGGTGCTGAAATCGCTCGTGCATTTGCAGATATCCTATCACATGCTGGCAACACCAGAATTCCCAAGAATTTGCAAACCGATCAAGGTACTGAGTTCTACAACGAAAAGTTTCAAAGTCTGATGAAAAAGTTCTCCATCAACCATTATCATACGTACACCATAATGAAGGCGGCTATTGCTGAACGTGTTATACGGACATTGAAGGAAAAACTATACAAGTACTTTAGTTTGAATGGCTCATACCGTTGGATAGATGTCCTGCCTGAAATCACGAAAAATTATAATAACACGAAACATACGACAATAAGATGCAAGCCTAGTGACGTCACCAAAGCCAACGAACAAGATATTTTAAAATCCACGTACAATCACATTAAAATTGCTGGAACCAGAAAATTTGATGTTGGTGACATTGTGAGAATAAGCAAAGCCAAACATGTTTTCGAAAAGAATTATACACCAAAATCGTAAAAGTTCGTATTACGAAACCTACTACATACATCTTGGAAGATTTGCGTGGTACACCAATCAAAGGTGCCTTTTATCCTGAAGAATTGCAAAAAACTGAAAATTCCGATGTTTACCTAGTGGAAAAAGTTTTAAGGAAGAGGGGTAAAAAGGTGTTTGTCAAATGGCTAGGATTCGATGATACACACAACAGCTGGATTGATTCCACCAACAAGTTATAATGTTATCATATGGAAAACTAGCACAAATTCAATGGATGTAAGGGGCCTTTCACGTCGATCGCTGACAAATAACAACCATTATCGGATGTTGTGACGTGTTGGCAGTGGTGGTATAAATAATGAGGACTGAAACTTTCAACACATCAGTTCGAGAACAATGAGTGAAGACTCTGGTTATTCATCTAGTGAAGTGCCTTCCGAAAACGGTAGTACTAGTTCATTGGCAATGATGGGTTATTATGGTGACGTTGATACATATTTGGACATGATTGAGCAAGCAGCGAAAGCCGAATCGTACCTCCTGCTGACTTCATCGTTCCAGTTGTCCACCTACATGATTCAGTGCGGACTTAGTCCAGCTAGACAGTTTAGTCCGAGCATCATCCTGAAGAAACCCTTCCATCCAGCGAAAATTTCGTTCTCCACATATGAATGGGCCACCTTCATCGATTCGCTGTATAAGGTACAACAAGACTTTTTTGAAGCACCCGTGCCCTGTTTCATTGATGAATATGATCCTGCCGTTATCACCTGCGGAGACTATATCACCATAACCAAATTCGTTTGCGATGGTGTCAAAATGTTATCACTCACCAAATACCACATTACATTCGAATTGGTGGAAGAGGATGTTGCAGTCATTTTGAGGGCTGAAACGTGTGTTGTTTCACATCGAGTTGCGCTAATAAACAAATTGGACTTTTCCATGTATTATCAGAACATTTTGAATACTATAGCCGATTGGATTAGAAATAGCCTGACTGATTTGGGTGCGGAAGAGCTTATATCTGGATTTTGTGATGTTTGTGATAGCATGTCTAGTAACGCTCTCAGAGAATATCTATATTATTGTAAAAATGAGGTTATGTCTGATTTGAATAAAATGTTGTGAAAAATGTGACTAGTTTTTTTCCATTTCATCAGTCTACAACTTGACGCGAGACTAGTAGCATCTGAAATATTTTAGCTCTGCTCGAAAAATCATGAAGTCTGAAATAGCTGTGCTATTGGAGTTTATAAAATCTCCCGCTTTGACTTTGACGAAATTCACTGAACAAGAATTGCAGTACATTCCAGTAGAATGTCTCATTGAATATGCAGATCCTTATGGGCTATTAAGGGTGTGGCACAAACTTCCTCAAGAATATCGCAGCAACTTTAACCTACAAATCAAACTGCCATGCTTCGTTCATTATAATCGTCCCGATTGGACCACACACTGGGATGGACCGCCATCTTCTCAAGAGGCATGTCATTTTTGTAGAAAAGGATTACTTAAATAAATAGATTATTTATCTTCGTTTTCGTATTCTTTTACCCCCATTGGCTGCCCTGTATATATATTTTTTTCAATCTTCATCAACTCAAACGCCCTGTATATGAAAATTCAATCTTGTTATTGTCATTAAAGTCACAGTTTGAGGAATGGGTATACGAGCGCGCGCTTATCATTCTAAGGGATCTCTCGCTTTGCTGGAACTTCGAACGCTATGAAGGTAACGGCATGACGTCACCCACTTTGAAATAAATAAATAATCCAAGTATTCGTTTCCAATACGAGCGCGCGCTTATCACTCTACGGGATCTCTCGCTTTGCTGGATCTTCGAACGCCATGAAGCGAGACAGCGTTGTCACACATAATAATGTAACAATATTAACATCCAAACACATACGTCCGACAACGTTGCAGCGCCGAGCGCTCGAGCCTTACTCTACCTCGATAGATCCGTTGCAAAGATAAGCGCGCGCCAGCGATGGATATTATTTTCGACTCGAAGTTTCTTATCTCTGGAATGCATCTCTCGCTTCACTCTACCTCGATGGATCCGTTGCAAAGATGAGCGGGCGCCAGCGATGGATATTATTTTCGACTCGAAGTTTCTTATCTCTGGAATGCATCTCTCGCTTCACTCTACCTCGATGGATCCGTTGCAAAGATAAGCGCGCGTCAGCTATGGATATCCCGTTTGAATAGCATTAAAATAATTGAAATATCACGGAGGTCGGAATACCACAGTGCGTATATACGCTGCCTCATAATGCAAAGGTCCCTGGTTCAATTTCCCCCAGCGGTGACAGCTTTTTTTAATTTATTTATTCACGATGGCGACGTGACGACGTATGAATAATTTGAATTTCGCGCCGGTTTTTAGTGGGCGTGGCCTCCAACCAAATGCTGGTCTCTGATTGGCTTGAGCTGGTACTGGCATAGCCCCTCTACTATGCTCACTCTTATGAATACGGTTCATGCCCCATTATTGCGATGCGGAAGATATGGTGTCTGAGGTTAAATTGATCTGAATAGTTCTGAATACTTCTGAATACTTTGAAATACCTCAGAAAGGTAACGGCATTACGACATAAGAACTTTATATGCGACAGCTGTCTTCATCATCCCTATTCTTGAAAGAAAACTCAATGAACATATTGAGAATGTGCAAGCATGAATGAGACTGCAATTTGAATGACCGAGGAGGAAAAAAACATCCTGGAATTGAAAAATCACAAGAACAGAGAGAAGGCACCATCCATGGTATTTGCTGATTATGAAAATATTAGAGATCCGAAGGAGCCGCCGCACCACGTACCAAAGGCAGGACTGTATGGCGTGGTTCGCTGATTTGTTCTAAAATTTTTGTTTGTTTGTTCTAAAATTTGTTCTATCCGTCATTCATTGATGGGCTCAAACAGTTGGCCGAGGATATGTCTACGGCGTTTCTTCGTCTTTACAATATCAAAATGTCTGCTGGGCAGGAAGTTGAGTTTCAGAGAGTTCAAAATTGCCATATTTGTGGAAAACCTTCTGGACCTACCCATCAGGAAGTTTGCGATCATAATCAGTTGATTCCGGAAATTAACTACAGAGGTCCTCCACATGAAAGCTGCAAATTCTCTTATCGAAGATATTGTCACGAGTAGAACATACGGTATATCAGTAATTTCGAACCATGAGGGTTTTATAAACATAAAGTAAATCAAATCATCCGTTGACATTGAATTATAAAAACTGACCAAGGAACTCTCATGAGAAAAGTGCATATCTAATAAAATGTTGTATATAAATATTGGATGTGAGGGTTCTGAAGTCAGTCTGGTCTGGGGCTACTCTTGACTTGACAAGAGCTCGTCGTTATGGTCTCTATAATGTAAGTTGTTATTAGGTCTTTATATTCATTGTTGTTTATTCAAATTTATAATCACTTCACCCATAATGTTTCATGCTTCATTAAATATTGTTATGTTTGAATATAGTATCGTACTTTCAGTTACCCCTGAACTATTAGTGCCTTCTTGAATATCACCTCTCGCAAGCCAAGCAAACCCCTTATAAATCGATATGATTAGACTAACCATCTCTATTATATCGTGACAAGTGGAAACACAACCCTTTTGTTGTGACATGGTGGAGGCGCCGGGCACACCTCTTTTGTTGTGACATGGTGGAGGCGCTAGAAACCATGAAGGAATCTCTGAGCCCGAAAGATTCCACCCCTATGCCCAGGACGAGGATACCTTTCGAGCCCAAGAAAGGATCCTGCCAAAATTCCCACGACGATTGAAAGATGCCCATCAGTCGTCATTCGCTACCCCAAGAACCCAGCAGTTCCCTTCGTTCAGCTGCCAACTACCTCGAATGACAGTCTAGGAAATTTTAAAGCCCAAAAGATTTCATCCCGATGCCCAGGACAAGAATACCTTCGAGCCCAAAAGGATCCTTCCGAAATTCCCATGACGATTGGAGGATGCCATGCCCAATCGTCATTCCCTACCCCCAAGTTGCCAGGAGTCTCACCGAGAAGAGTCTGATTGAATTGCTTCTGTTGAATAGCCAGTGCCGGACTTAGTAAAGGTGTGAGTGTGCATTGTAGACACTAAATTTTGAATGTTTGTGGATATTTTTTTTCTGAAATTTTTTGTATATGTAAATGAATTTTGAATGTTCTCCTCGATATATTTAAGTTAGGTAGTAATTTCAAAACTGGGGTCCAGTTTTCTCGGAGAGAGGGGTCATGTCACGAGTAGAACATACGGTATATCAGTAAGTTCGAACCATGAGGGTTTTATAAACATAAAGTAAATCAAATCATCCGTTGACATATAATTATAAAAACTGACCAAAGAACTCTCATGAGAAACGTGCATATCTAATAAAATGTTGTACATAAATATTGGATGTGAGGGTTCCGAAGTTAGTCTGGTCTGGGGCTACTCTTGACTTGACAAGAGCTCGTCGTTATGGTCTCTATAATGTAAGTTGTTATTAGGTCTTTATATTCATTGTTGTTTATTCATATTCATAATCACTTCACCCATAATGTTTCATGCTTCATTGAATATTGTTATGTTTGAATATAGTATCGTACTTTCAGTTACCCCTGAACTATTAGTGCCTTCTTGAATATCACCTCTCGCAAGCCAAGCAAACCACTTATAAATCGATATGAATAGACTAACTATCTCTATTATATCGTGACAAGTGTGGGAACACAACCCTTTTGTTGTGACAATATTGTATGCAAAATGAAGGGTCAGATTGATTTGTTACCAATTTCTAAAGAGAAATATATATCTTTCGCAGAATATGTTGATGAGACTTCTATTCCGTTTCGTATCATTGACTCGTTTCGCTTAATGACCTCTTCTGTGGACAAGTTAGCATCATATCTAAAGGAAATTGCAAATTTGACATCGTCATTTTGTGACATTCCTGAAGATCATTTTCGGATATTGACTGAGAAAGGAGTGATGCCCAACGATAACATTGACTTCTTTGAGAAATTCGACGAAACTCAGCTTCTTCGAAAAGAGTTCTTTTACAGCAGATCTTATGACATGCCATGTCTTTAAAGAGACTACCTTTTTGCCAAGCTGGAATGGTCGGCATAGGGCTCTGCTTGTTGACCTTTACAAAAAGGCTAATATTCTTCTACTCCCAGACGAGTTTGAACAGTTGCGTACCAGCTGCCTCAGAACATACAATCTTGACCCTTGATTTCAACATATCAAATTTAAAATAGGAAAGCCTCCGAAATCCGTGACACTGAGTCAATGACGACCCTACGCTACAAGAAGTATGTCATTCACTATGGAGCCCTCAAACAGTCGTCAAAACATGGTTTGGGTGCTGAAAAAAATATACCTCAAATTTCTCACATAACTGTTCACTTCATTAGGTGACCGCAATCAATAACATCACTTTCATATCATAGCATAATGTACAAAGCATAATGTACAGGGTGATTCACCATAAATGTCCCCCCCTCTAGCTCACTTATTTTTTAACCGATTTAAAAATTTGAAAAATGATCTAAAATGATTTTTCGGATTTTTTTTCCCGTTGCATCAGGAAATACAGGGTGCTCGGAACAAATGATCTACAGAGTACTACTTGATTTTTTCAAATGGAACACCCTGTATTTCATTGTATTCTCAGATCCTTCCTGAAGAGCTGATTTCATCAATATATCACACTTGAGGTCTAGCGGGAATGATTACAGAGATATAGGGTGTTCAAAATCGAGATTTTTCAAGTTTATGATTTTTTTTTCTCGAAACTATTCATTATTGTTCGAAACGGCTTCTATGATTCCATCTTTACTATTGATTTACTGTCTACTGACATTTAATTGGAACATTCACAGGGTGGTTGAAGATTCAGAATTAGATATTAAATTAAAAGTTGAGACATGGACATGAGAGCCGTTTTGACCGATGATGTATAGTTTCGTCTCAAAAAAATCCTAAAGTTGAACAATCTCGATTTTGAACACCCTATATCTTTGTAATCATTCCCACTAGACCCCAAGTGTGATACATCGATCAAATCAGCTCTTCAGGGAGAATCTAAAAATACAATGAAAAATAGAGTGTTCCATATAAAAAAATCAAATTGTACCCTGTAGACCGTTTGTTCCGAGAACCCTGTATTTTCTGATGAAGCGGAAAAAAACTTTATCGAAAATCATTCAAGATAATATTTCGAATTTTGAAATCGGTTCAAAAATAACCGAGCTAGAGGGGGGGACATTTATGGTGAATCACCCTGTACAATTCTTCCATCGGTTCATGGTTTCGGTATCCATACTCGGCTGTTTCACGTCCTGATGCTTACAGTCTCATCATCAAGGACAAACTGTATAGTAGGGTTTTCATGCGCAACTTCGATCGGGGAGGGGATCCTTTCCAAAACTAGTGGTTACCTCATGTGTTCGCAAAGATTCGAGTACTATTCTTGTAATATTCTAGTAGGTTTGTGTCTGAAAAGAAAAAGAGAAGTAGCAATTAGTAGAGGTTCAAGATATACAATAATTGGAGTCGTGGATGGAACCATACAAAGATAAAATCATGCTTTCATAACTCACCTGTAGTAGTAAAAATTCTGAGAATAGACCATATTTTGTATTTCGATTATTTTGGAAAATGTTGATCATCTTCTGAGGTTGACGCTCTGTATTTATCGTTTCCTTCTTACCTCGCTTTTTCAACGATTTAAGCAGTCAACAGGTGTCTTGGTAAGTCCACACAGACATATCAGAACGATATCTGGTATTGAATATTTCCTTCAGGGCCGCGATTCTTGAAAATCGGGGAGTAGAACAATCGAGAGAAAGTGGGCGTGTCCACTGTCCGAAACTGAAAACCGTATTCTTGAACTGAATAACACAAGAGGAGCGCTCCCTAGGGAGTTACTAATGCATCTATCAAAATTTTCAAGAGAACCAAACCGGGAACGCTTCTGATTGGCTCCCTGCCATCAAATTGAATAAAAATATGACAACTCTCTCATCAGTCTCATCAGTGATCAAAGGTTAGCTGTTTTAAATTTCCATATTTCGTGGGATTTCGAATGTGCTTTGGATTCAAAAAACATATGAATGAAGATATCCTGGATGTACAACTACAAAATGACGTTGGTGTGGTTATACTTCCCAAACAAACCCCTGTTGAGTTGAGTCAGAAATTTTTGTAAATGCATGTTTCGGCTAACAAAATGTTTGACGAGGCAACTGATTAACATTGTGAATCCTCATATGGAAGCACCCACAAGAGCCTCTGCTCTCACTGTAGAGACTAAGGTATGTCACATCAACTACCTATATCTTCAGCTGACGAGGTGTGATTTTCACCTCATGACCAACCAACTTGGAAAAAATTATATTCATTCAACGTTCTCCTTCAGCCTTCACCTTGCCTGTAGAATGTCAACATGTCAGAAAATAATCGTATCTGATTGGTCGTCACCTTTGGCAACACGTGGCAACACCGTCTATCGGGGAGCTATGATTTTGCTCCCTCCCTCTTGCTCAAGAATACGAACTTCTTGGTTTGATATGAAGGAGTAGAAACAAACCGGGGAGTGCTCCCCAGGGAACATTCCACTCTATCACCGTCAAGAATCGCGGCCCTGCGGGTGAGACAAAGAAGTTGAATTTAACGCGAGTCTATCATGAAGTGAAGGCATTTCAGAGAACTTGAGCAAGTGAACTAATCTCCTACTTATATATCCATACTCTTTACTTAAGTGTGTGAAATAAGGAGGGGCAGACGTTGGTTCAGAGTGACTTCTGTCCTTTTGACATCCAGCAATGTTACCAACTCAT